CTGTTGCTGCTGCTGTTTTTCATATTTAGATTTCATGATTACAATAATTACAATCAAATCTCACCTATAATTCTTTTGCAAAACCCTGCTACAGGCTGCAGGATCCAAACCATTGAGACTCTCACATCGAAGAAGATCTGTGAAACAAAAACATTGAAAAAGAATATTCAACACTGTGACATGACAATAAAAAAGAGGTATATCAAAACTAATGTCTTACCTAGACCCATGGCAGGGACACTACATTTATCTGCTCCAAGATTCTTATTGTATCGAAGAAAAAGGATGGTATCTCTTAACGTCAGGGCGTGGTCAAAGTACCTCTGTGCCTCGCCTTCTGCCACATTATCAACCTATAAGAGAAAAGTAGATATGTTGATTTTAAGTTGTCCTTAAGACATTTGTTGTAGTAGATAATAAATAAATAAATAATAATAATAAAAATTTGTTAAAAAAATGTAAAAAAAGCTGTCCTTATGGAATTTCTAACATAATGGTAAAAAATACATTATTTATATCAATTTATATATATATATTTATATTTATTTATGATATGTATTGTGTAATAAATTTTATTGGTTTTAGTAAAATGCTTTCCCACATCATACCATGTGTCATTCCCTTAAGAATAAAATTCATTGTTTGACTTGTATCCATATTCATGTTTCTTCTCATGCAAAACCATTAAACAAATAATAATTTTCATAATACTCTTGGGAATGACAGGTGGTCTGCAAGGAAAACATTTCACAATGACAAATAAAGTCTATACCTTCTCCAGTTCAGAAAGAAAACTATCTAGTGACTCATCAGTTAGTTTCCCAACTTCAAACATGGTGACTGCATGATTTTTTAAGCCCTGTGAAACAAAAGAAATGAGAGTAAGAATTTTTCATGTTTCTATGAAGCAGGTCCCTTAAGGCAACRCATTTTTTTATGCTTTAAATTTCACTTATTGAATCTCCCCTCTCCCAGCTTCAATGCTTCTTCCCTTGGGATTAAGACAAATTTCATAAGAGACCTATGCGATCCTATGCAGTTCTGTAACTCCAAAGCAAAGTTCTTCCACATAAAACACATCTTACYGGTGAAAGATTTCCCATCATCAGGAATGCTGTAAGAGTTGAGTCAAATAAGAAAGCAATTCTCTTGCCTGGGCCTCCTTCAACTGGAAAAAAAAGAAACAAACAGATAAATGATTGGAACCCTTTGGAGGAYGAAAAAGACTCACTGAAGACGCTTGCGATGAACATCTTCAGTGCATGTGCTAACACAACTGGGCCCACTGTAATTGGCAAAAAGGTGTTGTGGTTTCCCTGCCCTCACAGGAAAATTAAATAATTAAATAGACTGATTGTATTCATCTATAATATCAAGAAAACACCCATCACCTATGTTGATGGTATAAATGAAGGAAGCTAACAAGAAGAGATAAATTGCTAAAACTACCACCTCTTTCTCTTTTACTCCGACGAAGGACTAGCGTCCGAAAGGTCAGTTTTTCCACCTTTTCACTGTATAATTCACCCTTTTATCATTACTGAAGCTAATAAGAAGTCTTTTGTTAAATTATTAATAGCACTGACATGGCGGTAATGATGTAAAGCTGGTACATTTTGATCGCTTGTAGCTACTGATGCAATACCTGGCGACTGTGTGGAGAGTAATGTTTCCATCTCAGTGACCTCACTACTGGATGCAGACTGCTCTCCTGGGGTAGTACTGGCTTTATCATCAAGGTGGTTGAAATCTAAATCAAGAAGGTTGTCTCTACTGCCTGACCTAGAAAATCACAAAAATATCATATTCTATAACTTTATGATTATCCTGAAACAACCTCTGGGGTGATCTAAGTCAGGGTATGGCTAACTCACAGATCAAACCCTGAAACAAGCTCCCTCGTTGATCTAAGTCAGGGTATGGCTAACTCACAGATCAAACAACCTCTGGGCTGATCTAAGTCAGGGCATGTTTAAATCACAGATCAAGGTCCTGAAACAACCTCTTGGCTGATTAGGGTCAAGGCATGGCTAACTCACATATTGAATTGGAATTCTGGTAGGGAAATCAGAGAACCTGGAGAAAAACTCTGGCCAACAAACTCTACTCACAAGTAATGGTGAGTCCAGGAATCGAATCCAATACCCCTGAGATGAGAATTGATGGTACTACCACTACCCCCCTTGATTCCCAAATGGATCATTTGTATAAAGAGTAAGGGTAAGGTAACCCTGATATTACTTCAGTAATGGAGGTACAGCTAGAGGTCAATCAAAAAATGTAAAGCAGTTACATACTTTTTGCTTGATAGCATATTAAGTATTTTTTCGGACCAGGATTTATGAATTTTGGACTCATAGCCCAATTCTCCACTTTTCCTGCGTGCAAATCCCAGACGGCAATACACAGACACAGCATTCTGAAAAAAACGAAAAATAAGAATTTCAAAGTTACTCAAGTACATGTAAGATATTGACAATTACCTCATTTATATACAGTGTACATGATGAAAAACTTCTACACAAAAATATATAAAGCATAGCAAACTTTAATATTTAAAATTTAATATAGAAAAAGAAATTTGAAAAATCTTGGTCAATAAAGGAGGGGAGGGCTATACCCCCCACCCCCTCCCCCTTGGAACTGCTACCTTCCTAATAGTACTTGACATACAAACCTTTACTAACTGAAGATCTATCTGTAAAACATGTGCAAGCTGAAAGACAAAAAAAATTACAGAAGATGTCTAAGGTATATTTGAGCAAGAAAAATTCAAACAAATGATGGTCCAATGGTTGGCGCAAGATGACCTGATCTCAAGCAAATGATAGTTCACACGTATGTGGTATTAAATCCTGGTAACCTTGCAAGTACAACTCTTTTGAACCCACAGTACAGGAAGATGAATGCTTTATTCTGCCACCAAGGATCTTTGGATCAACAATGAATCCAAGACTTAGCTTTGAGTGGGGGGGGTGCATTATTTATATTTTGAAAAGCAAGTTAGGAGAATCTGACCGTCTTAATGTAAATGGTGAAACTGGTATATATGTAAACCTGCCATTCAACCCAGTTGCTATTTCTACAGAGAATTCAGATTCCTTTCCATTAACATACCTCAGCTATATTAGTGTGCTCATCGATAGAGACAAATATCTTGTACAGTAGTGTTTCAAAATAATCCCCAAGGACTCTGTTCATAACAAAGTTCTCAAGTGGAGGAACTGAAATGAAATGAAATGAAAACTCGAATTAATCAAGCATTTTAAGAAACAATAAGAAGGTTGATTTAAATATATATATATAATATGTACTCATTGACCGAGTGGGAGGGCCAGATGGGAAAAGATTTGGCTCGAGGTCATGCTGTAYGGACCAAGTGCAGTGAGCAGGGCTGTACAGGTCATATGATCATACTCCTTATTTGGAAGCAAATAATCTGGAAAGTACTTAGGAAATCCTGGATCCTGTCAGAACCTCGGAATTGTTTTTCAAGAAGACAATGCTSAACAAAAACATATTCTTTTGAACTTTAATTTTAGACAATTTTACGATCTGAGTATAGTATTGTCTCTTACCAACTATATAGTCTTCATCTTTAATGGGTACTCCTACATATATCAACCCTTTGGCATAAAGACCTGGAACAGAGAGCAGTAAACACTTTAATTTCTGTAATGCCGTTTTCCATGAATGACTTCATRAGGTTTTGCGATAACTATATTTTTAGTAACCCTGAAAAATGCTATTACTCTACAACCAAGGCTTGAAATAGGAATTTTTATTAGCCTGCCATAGTAAAGGAGCATAGTAAAAGGAGGTCATTCCAGTAAATTTGCATGCCATTTTATTATTCATTTTGCAGCCTGGCATCATTATTTTCACCTGCCAAACCTGAAATTTGGCCTGTCATTTGGCCATTGGCAGGCTGCTATTTCGAGCCCTGTACAACAAGATTAAAATTGACATTTCCCACCTGGACTCGTGGGCACTTATGAGTTAATGCCTGTAGTTAATTTTCTAATTCAAAATAATAATAATTATTTGTTATTTGACATGTCTCACCTTCAACTACTTTCAGGTCCATTTCTGCTGCCAATTTAGGTCCTCCATCAATGATTTGATCAACAGCTTGATGTTCAGCAGCCGAACACATCTAAATTGAACAAAATTCCCTCTTAACTACTGACACTATAACTTAGGCACAGACACATCAGAGACAGGCTACAAAGCTTAAAATAATGGCCAGTTATAGGACAACGTCCTGCTAGAATTCTGCCTCATCTGGTCAAATCTTTGCCTTGTTGGGATTTTTGGCCAGTACATTGAGCCAGAAATGAGATATGACTAAGCTAAAACTAACTTGGTTGGTCATTATGACCATCAACGTCTACTGACAAGCTGTTATTTTACATGTAAGTCCTGGGCTATATTATCCATAAAATAAAGTATGATTCATACCCTGATGTCATCTTCTGTTACATATCCTATATGAACCGTCCACCAGGGCTCCAATACCTTTAGAGCAAYAGGCTTGGTGGGGAGTAAATCCTTCACTGGCTTACGTCTAAAAAATTTCTATCAAAAAGAATTAAAATAATTTAAAACCCACAAGTTACTCTTAAGTAAAAAGTAATATAATATTCATACCAATGTAAAGAAAGTATATTGTGGAATTCCTAAAATTTGGGTAATTTGGATCTATTAAGGGGGGGGGGGGGGGGAGTAATCAAGTCTGCTAATTTTTTATGACAAACCCTTGCCATCTGTAATTCATTAGAGCAGTCTGTCATTCATTTCAAGGCAAATTTGTTTGTCAGAATTTACCCCTAATGGGGCCTCAGTAATGCTTTGGATTTCTAGGAGGTGGGATGGATTGGGGTGGGGTGTTATATCAATTCCAATCTAAAGTCTTCATGTGCATGCGGAAGAAAGGGATTACCTTTGATGATCTACACTGATTCATCAGATCAATGTACTGATTTCTTCCAATGCCTAAAAGCCTCAGACCTGGAAAAGAGTACAATTGTTTTTACAAATTTAAAAAACTGTACAAATAAACTATGCACCCTCCAAACCCCATCTCCACAAAAGCTAAAAATTCCATAAAATAATGTCATCTTGTTTCATGACTATATCTACTGGTATGAATCAGTCTTTTCAAGTGTTACTACTTAAAAAAGAAATAATATTAAAGGCAATTCATAATTTTGAATGGAAAGTATTTGAGGAACTAGAGAAAGATATAATAATCAAGACAATGTTATAAAATGGAAATCAATGGAATGCATCTTCTCTAGACTAACGAAAGGAATAATACAATCAAATCAAAGCAAGCTAAGACAAGCGGTCTTAAATGCAAGGCTCTTCAATATACTTACAGTCTGCAGCTGTAAAATTTGGCAGGGAATCATAGCTTCTTTCACTCTGCATGATATCCTGCATGATGCTACAGTAGTAGGAGAAGGGAGTGATACGAAGCCCCTTGACAATAACATCTGATAAATGGTAAGGAAACAGCTGAAAGGAAAATTATACTTGTTCACAATACTATAAGTCTTATACTAAGTACAGTACTTGGTTAGAACTAAAATTCTTGGGGGAAGGAGTAAAGAAAAAATTGAGTTAGTAATAAAATTCTTGGGGGGAGGGGTAAGGCCATACTTGGCTAGTACTAAAATTTATTCTTGGGGGAGGGGTAAGGACATTCTTGGTTAGTACTAAATTTCTTGGGGGAGGGGTAAGGACATACTTGGTTAGTACTAAAATTTATTCTTGGGGGAGGGGTAAGGACATACTTGGTTAGTAATAAAATTCTTGGGGGAGGGGTAAGGACATACTTGCTTATTAATAAAATCCTTGGGAAGAGGGGTGAGGAGTTAGGGAGTGATTGGTTAACTAGTACTAATATTGATATCAGGAAGAAAGGGGTAGTGAGGTGGAGAATTATCAGATAAATTTATGATTTCCATACCATAAGGTGTTGTCTGCTGTAATGCAAAAGGTCTTCATAGTATTTCTTTTCATCTTTTCTAACATGTCTCACTATAATATTAAAAYGACAAACAATAGCATGTTTCATTAAATTTATGATTCAACTCCTAATAGGTTACTATCAATAGACGTCACTTCTGGTAATAGCTCTTTTTTGATGGCTTGTAGAATCCTGGAGGTTGTTTTAATCTCTTGTTTTCTGGTTTGATGTCATGAAAATAGTCAAATAYAATAGTTTGAGGACTTATTTTGATATGTTTTGACTTAGGTAAAAGGATTTGTGGCTCCCATAATTGGTCTCATAACTCTTCCTATTACTGGCCTAATTAACTCCATTATCTATGACTTTCAAAAGTTTTAAATTTGAAAAATATTCAAAGAGGATTCTGCTAGTAATAACATCAAGATGAAATAAGGAGAACAGGATTATACTATCAAGTAGTGCTTAAACTAAGAAGTGGGGAAACGATAATTAAAAAACAGGAAGTAGTGAAGAAAATAAATTGGACAACCATCCAAACGTAAAATCATCTTAGCATATTTAAGAAACATGATCATCAATTATTGAAAAACTCAAAAAAATTGAATTTAACATGGATAAGAAAGAAAATAGGATATTATGAAAATATGAAAATATGATTTGATATCATTTATAGTACTCTCATTAACCATTATTATAAAGCAGACCATGCACCAAATATACAGAGGACAAATATTTTAGGTATAAATGCTTTCACTTTTTCTAAGTGAGATTTTGTTTTGCAGTTCAAGTGTGAAATCTTTACCAACATTAAATGCATAGATTATAAAAAATAAAATACATTTCAATTTATAAGACTGTATACAAGAACAACTATACATAAATAAACGATCTATCATGTGAACAATACCATGTGGTAATAATTTTATTATTTATTTCTTATTCTTTATTTTCATTGTTTAAGAAAGTTTATAATAGAAGTAATTGTAGCCAAACTATTTGAAGAAATCACGAATCGTTAAATCCTTATTTTTCACAGGTGTGGTACTTTTTGTATATAAGCATGTTTTATTTCTTGGAATGTGATCTCGGACTTTTTATATCTCGCAGGAATACTTTGTGTGCAAGATCATTTGTTGCTTCAAAAACATATGATTTAGGTGACAGTTTTCTACGTGGAGACAAAAACAATAACCTTGGTTTCTATGCTTCTAGATTCATAGATATTTATTCTATTAGATAAATATCTTTAGAAAGCTAAAGTTAAGGTATTTTATCAGCTTTTTTAATGTTAAAGAGGAAGTCCAAAAGTGACGGACGTGTAACAACTATCTTATGATGCTACTACTTCAAAGTGCTTAAAACTCACCTATATTTCCACGATATCTGAGCTGATTTTTCACACTGTAATCAAAAACACTTTTTTCCCATTCTCTCTGGTTGTTCCCCAAGGACTGAAAAGTCAAAAAAGACGAGGAATTTAGAAACAGTCATATGGTACAGTCACGAGAGAGAGAGAAAACACCCCCAATGAGAGCCAGACTCTACCTGTTTGACACTCGCTGGAAGGCGAATCCATGGGTAATTCTGACGAATATGGAACTCCAGATCGGCATTAACTGACTGTCTAGCCATTTACATAGCTGTTTGAAGCAAAGCTGCTCTCAAAAGGGTGAATTTTTGGGTTTCATTTTGGATTTACGTGTCTTTTCTATTTCAAGTTGGAGTCACTTCCATGGGATATACCACTGACCAGTCTTGGGCTCAGCTGGATTATATCAAAACAATTTGCATAATTTATAAACTTCATAAAAAGAATATAAAAAGCATAAAACCGTTAAAAAATTATCTTCCTATCTTTCGAAATTCATTCCTTATGATTTTGAAATTTGTATTTTAATGTTAATAGTTATTTCAAAAATTATTGAATAAAATTTCACCAATCAAAAATTTATATGAAATCTCTAAGCTACTACCTGGAGATGTCTCCAAATATTTTATCAATAAATTTATGATATTTTGTAAATAATATTTGCAAATGGAATAAAATATAGACACTATTCTTGTTATTCTTGTTTGATTTTGGGCTTCCTTTGTTACTAAGCCCATTCCTCCAGGTCACACACGGCAGTACTGGTCGCTTCGTCGACTCGGCTTCCAGGCTGGTTGTTTTGCAATTTCCTTCAGTCGTTTAGTAAATTTTATGAAATGTTTAAGAAGAAAAAAGAAGGAAATAAGTCCAATGACGACCACAAAAAGGAGCTGGCTAATATGGTAAGTCCTTCCTCCAGGTCATTTATCACTTACAGCTTGTTTGAGCAAAGTAAAGCCATTATTTCAGTCGCTATCTCTCAGAGTAAATGTGAAGTTTTAAGACCAAACATTGTACAAAGCTTTCAAACTGTACAGAACATTTTAATTTCAAACTACAGTAAATATATAGTTTTAGGAGAATAATTTCTGATAATACAAGGTTTAAATGCTGCACATTTGTTCAAATATATCATTCAGAATTGCTAAAAGCTAAATTTAGAAAGATTACGTCACAGTCGAGAGGCTTTCAGCTGTTATAATTTTTTTGTATTTGACTTTATCAAGTATCTAATGATATTAATGGTGTATTAATTTCAATCTATTAATTTCATTATTGAATTTTAAAACAATATCATAATATCACAATACTATATGTCCACTATAACCCTAGGTATTTTGTTACGACAGCAAATTGTGTGAATTCTTTCTTATGGCTGGAAAGCACAATAATCAACAATAAAATTATTCGCCGAAAGTGAAGTGAATAACGGGGAAATATTTACCGAGAGGCGAGTCTTCCAGCTGCAAGGTAAATATTCCCCTATGTTCATTTCACTTTCGGTGAATAATTATTGTTTTAGTATCTTTAATACAAATGAATCAATAAATAACAAAGAGAGAGTTTTATTTATCTCTGCAATCGACACACGTCAACAAAATAAGCATGCTACATGAAATTCACAATCTAAGTCTTATACTGTATATCCACTTGCAGATGAATATTCCAGCATAGACATAAATTGTGACCAATGAGCGTGCCAGATTTGCAGTGTATTATATTCACTTATTTTAAAATACTAATGTATTTTAGTCTTATTAAGTATATTAATGTTCATAATTTGGTGTTGTCAAGCTTGGTGGGCTGGGAATGGACGCTGAAGATATGACGTTTGGGATGGATATTGATGGTGATGACAGTGATGATGACAACGCAAGTCTAGAGGCTGAGCTTGCTGCCCTCCAAGGAGAGGTACAACACAAACGTAAAAAAAGTGAGTTATATGCTAAAATAAATATGAAATGTAAAAGGTACAGACTGTTTTCCTCTTGATTGATGGAAGCCAAAAAAAAAAAACAAAAATTATCAGAGTGCTGCAGCTTGAAGCTGAGTTGATATAATAATGAAAACTGCTATAAAAAGTTACTAAATTGATATATTCAATACTGTTATCAGAGCAAATGGGTGATGATGATGATGATGATGATGATGATCTAGACAATCCAGAACTTCTAGTAAGTTTCAGTTCCAATGTATGTGATTTATTGTATAGTATAATAGTCCTTCTTGGATATAGAACATAATATTGTTTTGTGAGTAGCTCCATCTGTTTAATAGTAGCTGCAATGTGTTCTAGGACAAATGGCCAGCCGTTTTTTGGCTGTTAGGTAGTATTTTTCTTTAGAAGCTGTCGGATGCCCAGTTGCTAGGTGGCAGTGGACTGTGAATGGAGTAGCAGTGGGGTGTCAACCAACAAACTGCTGACAGTGACAGGGAATTTTGGGCGCTGTTCTACCATTTGACCCAGTATTCAAGTATTCAAGGGCCATATAGTATAGACTAATGATATTGATATTTATTTGTATAGGCTGAACTGCAAAGTATAGCTCCAGGAGAAGATGTACTATCCAAGAATGACCCTACGCCAGTTATGCAACCTAGTAAAGTGCAACCACCCCAGGTACTTACCAACAATAGTACATTAAATAATGTGTTCTAAAGTGTTGGTTGTTCAAGCTCCATGTGTGGAGCTAAGTACATGAGCTGAGTTTGCAATATGCGTTGTTCTCACCTATGATTAGAAGTAGGCATAGCTCAGTTGGTTAGTGCACAGCCTTCAGAGCTAGTGTAGGGGTCCATAGTTCAATCCTCAGGAAGTTGTTATGTGTTACCATAGTAACATTCTGATTCATCATTACCATAGCAACCTTCTGGGTTTGTGTTACTGTAGAAATATTCCATTTCTATATCATCATAGTAACCATTGTGTTACCATAGTAATGTTCTGGTTTTGTGTCACCATAATAACCATTGTGTTACCATAGTAATCTTCTGGTTTTGTGTCACCATAGTAACCATTGTGTTACCCTAGTAACGTTCTAGCTTTGTGTCACCATAGTAACATTGTTTGCATCTATGTTCCAGGAATCATTCTTGTCATCATCTGTGTTGGACCAACTGCAAGCTAGAGAAAAAATGTACCAGACAGCAATAGCAAATGCAGAAAAATGTGGTGAAACTTCCAAAGCAAAAAGATATGGCAGAGGATTAAAGGTTTGTTTACTAAAACTTAGTAGATATTTGCAAAAAAGGGGGCAAGCTATTAGCACTCTTCATTCAGCTCTCCTGTCTCTGTGGTCCCTCTTTTGAGCGTACAAAAAGTCAAGATTTTTTGTTTCATGAATTTATTTTAATGTTTTTAGCAAGTAGAACAGATGATTAAGCAGTGCAAAGCAGGCAAAGCGGTCAATCTGGATGAGCTAGCACCTGAAGTGGCTACAGGATCTTCTGCGTCATCTCAGCCTCCTGCTCCTTCCATTCCTCAACCTACAGAAACACCCAAAGTAGAAGGTATGATAGGTTTCTGACAGTCTACGTTTGGAGCAGTAATGAAATAATTAATAATAGTGAGGGGTTCTTACAATAGCGCATTCATATTGTCTCAATGTGCTTTACATTTATGACCAGTGGAGGAATTTACAGGCTGCATATTAATGATATTATGAATGCAATAAAAAAAAAAAGGCATTTTAATTGTTTTATTATATATAGAGAAAATAATCAGTTCTTTGCAAAGTTTGCTGCACAAAGTTTGGGTTCAGCAACCGTGCTCCATTCACTAATAAAGCACAGTTCTCAACCAATCCAAGTGCACATAATATCTAAGCTATATAATAAATATGCATAAAATTTAATATACTTCTTTGGTACAGTGACTCCAAGGAATGACAGCATACCCCAAAACATCACTGCTACCAAAGATGAAAGCAAAGAAGTAAAGGTACTGACTGTTTTGTCACTCAAAATTGGAATCGTAACCTACATTACCCAGACTCAGTATTGCATTTCTCACCTAAAAATTTCTCATCAAAAAAGGCAAGCAATGTTAAAGTGCTACTA